ATTTATCCGAGTATAGTATTACCCCCCAACTTTATGGATGATTTAATTTAACGTTTTATACTTGAATAAATACGGTAAGTTTCATTTGGTAGGATAAATACGGAGTTTTGTCCATTGTGTGTTTGTGATTTGTATGTAGACTTCTGAGATCATAAACCTTGCTATAAGAAAATGTGTATAAAAAAAAAGAAAAACTGTAAAATGTCAAACTGATCAGGTGCAAAAGAAAGAGACATGTTATTTTAAACATTTTTTTCTTCTCAGTTTAACACACATGTGATTTGTGTTAGATCTGCTCACCCATGGGGGGAAGTAGGCTTCAGGCTCAAAGTATTTCCCAAAGTGCTTGTTGCGTTTGAAGTTTCCAAGGTCAGCCTGGAGAGCGAAGGCTGCGAGCAGGAAGTAGGCCTCCTCTCTTTGAATACACTGAGAGAGCAGCACCTGTTTCCTCATGTGCCAGTAGTAATAATACCTGGCTACCCGGTCGCTGCAGGGTAGACAAGGAGCATATTTAAAAAAGCTTAAAGGATAACTGGAGCTTAAGTGACTGATGGTAGTAGAGGCATCCTGCCTTACTTCATACTACCGTTAAATATGTGAGTAACAGTGGAGGAGCTTTACCGACCTGATCAACCTCCCATTTTCCACATAATACTGAGCTCTGAAGTGAATGATCATTGGAGGCCCAAACTGATCAATGCCCTGAAAAACAAAGTGAAATGTATCAATGAAAACCAACATTTTAAACTCACAACAGAAGAACTTGGAAAGTGAGAATGATGGTGATGATAAAACCAGTTTTCTGTTTTAAACAGTCTGTGTGTGTGATGCTATGAGGAATGTTAGGATGGAGGTGAAGATGGACTGATAGAGTGGGGTTTCAGTCGCAGCAATGAGGAGGTTGCGCCAGTCTGCTGTGGTGAAAAAGGCCTTGGAATTTAACTGACTTGAGTATGTTTAGAGCGTGCACTTTATATAAAAAGTGGCAATGCATTTTCAAACATTTTTTACAAATAAGGCAACAAACAAGCAAGCTGATCTCACTTTTTGCTCTTTCTCCCACACACTGGTCATCAGAACCTCCCTCTGTTTGTTTACCTGGTTTTAAACTGAAGGGATATTCTGGGCTGGAACTGCTCCTGTGGTCAGACAGTTTAGTGTTGCAGTGCTTACAGAGAACTTTACTTCCTCCCAGCCCACTGTTGGGAAAAGTTTTAAAATAAAAAATGCCCTGAAGAATTCAGCGGCTTCAGGCGTGTTTCCCTCGGCTGCAGCTCGGGTTCATGTGAGCGGCTCATTGGATGAGACGAGTGATGAAGGCTATCTAAAGCCAAATCCCCGCGACAACTACTTGTTTGTGTGTGTGTGTGTGTGTGTGTGTGTGTGTGTGTGTGTGTGTGTGTGTGT